TATTAAGCAGAAAATATGGAGAACACGTGGAGCTCCTATCAATTTTATGCTGTTTATTTGGATTTCCATTTTTCTCTTTCCACAAGACCTCTCTCTCTCTTGTCCTGTCCGTTCCTGACCTGAGTAATACTGTGAAGGAATCAGATCACTACCCATGTGGGTGCATTTCACTTTGTAGCTTAAAAAGCAAAAGCCAATAAACTAACCTCAAAACTAGACAGCAAATTGTGGACTTTTCAAAGGTGGGGACCAGGTTTTAAGGAGCTCTGTGTCCTTGGTGCCTAGCCCTGTGTCTGGCACATAAAAGGCCTTTAATAAATATTTATTGGTTGAATGAGCAATTGACTTCAAATATTTATCAAGAACCAGCATTGTAGTGGGTGTTCTTCATGATGTAGAATTTGCTTATAGTTTCTTCCCAGGGGGTAAAACTAATGACTTATTCTTTTCTTCCTGGAGATTGGACAAGGACAGAGAATAAGGGCTGTGTTGTTGCCAGTGCAACATTTGATTTAACCAAAGCCTCTTGTCTGCACGAAGCTGCAGCAGTAGTAGCAGCAGCCACATCCCATCTGGCATTCATGAAAAGGTGTTCACTGAGCACCTCTCGGGTGCTGGGTACTGTGTTATACAAATGAATCCAGATCAAAGACCTGGTCATTGTCACCATCTGTCAAGGTGACTGTAATCAAACTATGAGTCTCTCCTCATTCTTGTTCTCAAACACACACACACTCAACTGAAGAGTATGTTTGTGAAGCAAACTGTTGACCAAACAACAAATGGAAATTTACTTAGTCATCGCTCTACCCAGCCAGTCAGGCAACCCTTTAGCCCAGTGCTCCTCAAAGCATATACTCCTCCTGAGATTTTGTCAAAACTCTTACTTAGATCTACTAGGTCTGGGGTGAGGCCCAAGAGTCTGCCTTCTAACAAGCTCTTAGTGAGATCAGGCCTTGATACTTAAAGTGTCGTCCATGGACAGTAGGTGTGGCGTCACGGGGAGCTTGTTAGAAGATCAGACCCTTAGGTGTCACCTCAGACCTACTGGATCAGAACCTGGATTTTAACAAGATTCAACATTAATGTTTGAGAAGCTCTGCTCTAGCCATTTCATAAGTCAACAGTATAAACTATGGGCAGGGGCCTGGTGGGGCTCTGGGTTAAAAGTCATGCCAGGTAGATTTGCTTTTTCCCTTTTTCTTTTCTACAACTCTTTTGGATACCTGCTCCAATATAGCATCTGACACTCAAATAAAGACAAGGGAAGATGCCTCTTTGATCAGTCATTCAGTGGCATGATAAATTTATTATCCATCCTGGATTGTCCATTATCTTTAAACATGGGGGCTCAACAACCAAACTATCCACTCTTCAGAGAACTTTCATTCTAGACAAAAAAGTTTGACCAGAAGAGACACCATCACGTCTGAACACATCAGAATGATTAACACGTTTGGAACAAGCTCTAGGAGATCAGAACTTCTGTTTCCTTGTCTATAAAATGGAGATAACAATACCACCTGTTCTAGCTTCCTTTATGATCCTGTTGGGAGGAGCTTTAAAATCTACATGTGAAGTAGCTTTGAAAACATAAACATGTTCATGAGAGTTTAAAATGGCTTTAGTGAGAAAGAAATCCTCTATGTTTCAGTGCCAGAGAGGTCTGGGTTCAAAATTTAGCTATACCATCTACTAATTTTGTGATTCTGGAAAATTATTTCATTTCCTTGAGCCTCAGTTTCTTTTTATATAAAATGGTCATAAAAAATTCAACCATGCAAGCTCGCAGTGAGGATTAACATGTTAATGATATAAGTAAGGGATCTGGTGCATAGTCGAGTTTAATAAATGGTAGCCAAGAGCAGCACATTAAGGGGCTTGATTGAGAAATAATCCTCCAAAGATAGTTTTTCTCTCAGGTAGGCCTCTTACATTGGAGCAAAGAGTGAGTTTAAAGCTGGTTAAGGTTTCGAATAAATGCCCATCTAGTTCAAGAGAGTGATATCTTAAAGTTCGTTATCTAAGTGTCTCTGGAAGAAAAATCCCCAAACCTCAAACAAGGTTTTAATATTTATTTAGATGTTTGGGAGTACCAGCCAGTGCAGGGCTGTGTGACCAGCAGGATTCGCTGTAATCATTCTGTCTCCTTCACACACTCTCATCAAAGGCGCCAGAGGGACTTGACGTTGTCCACAGGAGCGTGACACTGGTATGGAGGAAGGTGTCCACGTTGGTGTCCATGTAAGCAAACACTCCAGACCATGGGAAACAATAGAACTAGTGATACGGAGTGTCATGTACGGCAGCTCTCGAAGATTGCTCTGAGGACCGTGGGGAATCGATGGTACCCTCATTATCAGAAGAACAGAACAACAGGTCTTATCTGCTGGAGACATGAGGCGGTGGCTGTTGCATTGTTACCGCTTCACTGTCAGCAATTAAGCATTCGTGATACAGAGGGACTATTGTCTGTTTTAGAAGAAAAAAACCCAAGTCCTCATCATCTTTTCTCTATCTTCCCAACCTCAGACTCATACTTTTGTTTTGGAAATGCCCTTTTCAGGCCCTCAGTTTTCTTAAGCCTCTTTTCAGGCAGGCTAAGCCTTTGGGAAGGAATTCTTGTGAAGAAGAGGTCGCCCCTTTCTTTCTCTAGAGTTTGCAGAGTTTGTGTGATGACCTCCTTCCGTCCTTCCTGGTGAAATCCCGAAGTACCCTGGAGTGTGAATTCACAGTCTCAGAGTGTCACATGGCCTGCTTTTCCACATGGGTCCTGTTGTGGGGTGTCTGTATGCCCAATGCCGTGTGAGGGGGGGAAACACTTCACCAATATGGCATTTCAGCGAAAACCTGATAGGAAGAGGGTGGGGTTAAGGGAGGAAGCGAGCGGACAGAGGCTGCAGGCAGTGGCCAGAGGAGGCATTCAGCTGAATGATCAGTGGTTCTGAGTAGAGTGCAGTCCATGAGAAGGAATTGGGATGGCTCAGGTGTATTTTTTTTCCTGAATAACTTAAGGTTGAATGCATCACCAAGCCATGTTTGAGTGTGGATGACAGAACCCCTTCTAGGTAGGGAAAGAGTTCTTCAGTGGGGTTGTTCTCCAAGTCTATTTCAACAGATTCCATGATGGGCCCTTTTGACTCTGGCCGTTGCTGTTGGCTCGTTTTGTTAGGGCTTGACCCTGAGTGGATCAGTTCATTTCCTGTTTCTAGACCACAGGACACAGTCTTCACCTCTGGCCCGTCTCTACTTGTGGTCTTTGGGGGATATGTGGATGGAAGCTTTGGATAAAGGGCTACATGAACCAGCAGGAAAGACAGGTTGATGGGTATCACATTTTAGAATATAAGGCCACGTGGAAAAAGCGTTTGCTAGGAGTCAAGAAACTGGATTACAGTCCTAACCATGCCCCCTACTAGCTATGGGACCTTGTTAGACAATTTTATCTCATGGAGACCCACGAGATGATACCTACTATAAATCTACTGTAAACCTCACCAGAATTTTGTCAGCGTCAAATGAGATAATGGAGAAGAAAACATTGGAGATTTCAAAGCTACACTGTCCAATATGGTAGCCACTAGCCACATGTAGCTAATTGAATTTAAATTAATTAAAATTAAATAAAAGGAAAAATTCAGTTCCTCAGTCACAATAGCCACATTTCAAGTGCTTAGTAGCCACATGTGGCTGGTAGGTACCATATTGCACAACAAAGATGTAGAAACGTGCATTATCACAGAACGTTTTATTGGACAGCTCTGCCTCAAAGTGCTATCTAGGGTGTGATATTTTTTATTTATTTATTTTTTTGAGGAAGATTAGCCCTGAGCTAACTGCTGCCAATCCTCCTCTTTTTGCTGAGGAAGACTGGCCCAGAGCTAACATCTGTGCTCATCTTCCTCTACTTTATATGTGGGATGCCTACCATAGCATGGCTTGCCAAGTGATGTCATGTCTGCACCAGGCATCCGAACTGGCAAACCCTGGGCCGCCGAAGTGGAACGTGTGCATTTAACCGCTGCACCAACGGGCCGACCCCTAGGGTGTGATAATAAGGATATCAAGGCACAAAAATCATAAGCTACCTTGTAGGGGTGGTAAATGCTGTCATAGTTAAGGATTCTTAGAAAGAAACAGAACCCACTCAAGTTAGCTGAAGTTAAACAAGGGATTTCTTTGACTAATTCAGGAAAAGCATATGGATCCCACGGGCTGGAATCACAGCCAGGCTTCAAAAGAAATTGGAACCAGTTCCTAGAAGATTATCAGGAACTGAGGAAGCCACTCTTTCCTTCTCACTGTCTCTCTCTTTTTCTCTTCTTCTCCCTGTGGCCACTTGTGCTCTTGTTTCTGTTCTTCCTCCTCCTCTTCCTCTTCCTTCTCTCCTTCTTCTTATCTCCTCCCTCCCTCCTCTCCAGACAAGGTTTCTCATCTGCACTACACATGGTCTAAATAGGGCTCAACCAGACCCAATTTTCATCACTTCTCAGGGGTAATGCCTAACAAAGGCTGGGTCCTGATTCCAAATTCCCAGAAGAGATATTCTTATTAGCCAGCTTGGTGCAGTAGCCACCCCTGCTTCAATCAGCTGTATCCAGGTGGGTGGAGGTCGTGGCTCCCTGCTGATTCACTAGGGACAGTGGGGGGTGGGGCAGATGCTCTCAAAAGGAGCACATGTGGGATGGGACGGGTCATTGACTAACATGCTCATCCTTAGCACCTTGGAGAGGTTCACTGAGCCTATGATCACACAGAGAAGTCACCAGAGATTGGACCAAGGCCATGAAGAATAAGAATGTGATGTCTCTTCTTCTTTAGTTATTTGCATGACTTGAATCACCAGTACAGAGTCCTAGGGGTTTGGCTTAATCTCCACATCCGTATGCCTGGATAGAAGTAAGCACAGCCAGAAGCAAGGTGGAAATCAGGTCTAAGCCTTTGTCATTTCTTAAATGCAAACTGGGCACTAATGAGACCCTTTTCTCTCCTGCCTTTAGGAAGAAACATGAGGTTCTCCTGGAAATTACTCAAGAGGAAGATGGAAGGGGCTGTTTAAAATAAATTAAAAGCTGCAGGCCGCAAGACTGGGGCCAGAGGGCTGGCAGTGGAAAACCCTGTTGGGTTGTGAACCCTCACTGAAAAGTACCAGGTGCCTTTTTGCTTCCTGCAAAAGAAAGGAAGAGAAGGAGAAGACCATGTCCATGGCTTTGAAGCAGGTGTTCAACAAGGACAAGACCTTCCGGCCTAAGAGGAAATTTGAACCTGGCACACAGAGGTTTGAGCTCCACAAACGGGCTCAGGCGTCCCTCAACTCAGGCGTGGACCTGAAGGCGGCCGTGCAGCTGCCATGTGGGGAGGACCAAAATGACTGGGTGGCAGTGCATGTGGTGGACTTCTTCAATCGGATCAACCTCATCTATGGCACCATCTGTGAATTCTGCACCGAGCGGACCTGCCCTGTGATGTCAGGGGGCCCCAAATATGAGTATCGGTGGCAGGATGACCTCAAGTACAAGAAGCCAACTGCACTGCCAGCTCCCCAGTACATGAACCTTCTTATGGATTGGATCGAGGTCCAGATCAACAACGAGGACATATTTCCAACGTGCGTGGGTAAGTCTATGACCAGCTTCTTGGTTATTTTGTCACATCCTGCCCAAGCCCGCAAAGTTTGCAGAGGCTTTTTCCAGGCCTGCCTTTGGATGCTGGCTCGCACCCATATCAATGTCTCCCTAAGTTCCATCACTCTCATACCTGCAATTTCTTTTTCCATATCTAAGAACCTCACTGAAATTAAGAAAAAAAAATTGTTTGTGGATCACTTACAATGATTTTATGGACCTCTGTGGTACACATACCACATGCTGGAAAACATTGACTTGGTGAAATGTTAGATTTGATCTCGCTGGCTTCCTTAGGACTAGACTCCAAACCCACCCAGATATCCTGATAAGATTTTTATTTTTGGACTAAAGAGTTATCAAAGCTATGTTAATTCTGGTGCAATCACTGATATTCATCTCTCAGGTTAAGAAATCCCATGATTTCTTGAGAATCCATGGATTTGCTTGGGGATCAAATGAACAGGGGATCGGCATTCTGGGAAAATAAAGATATAAGCATTCTGTTCTTCCTTCTCCTGCTCATAGATTGTTAATTCCAGGCTGTACTGTTAACTGCTGGCCCCTGTGAAATTTGAAATTTGAAATGCAAATACTTTTGTTTGCTTTGTCCTCTGAGCCATAAAACTCTTCAAGGGGATGGACCAAACCCTTTCTCCCTCTTATATTTCTTTATGCTTCGCATCCCTGGATCTTCCATGCACTGACAGGCTGAATTTAGAATTGAGTGTTTTAGGTCCTAGGTTCAATAGGAATGAGCAATCTCCTGCTTCCACTGTTGTATCTCCCCTGCCTAAAGCCTGGTGCCCTGGAAACTTTGTAGGCACTCAGGAAATACTTGTGGAATGATTGAAAAAATACGTGGGCTGTTAGAAAGTATTATTAAAAAGCTCTGAGATGGTTGGGGTATAAAAAAAAGTGTTTGAATCACATTGTTGAAATCGCCTCTAGATGGGGGTGTGTGTGTCCATGTGCCATATGAAAAGTTGAGGTGGGGCATATGGAAGTAATTAAGTTTATACCAGAAAAAAAAGTGTATAAATTGATGAGGGCAGTATGTACATCTTGGAATATTCAGCACATAAAGCAATTTGCTCACAATCCTGGTGTTGACTTGTCCAGTTGCCTCATGCTCTTTCTCTCTGCTGTCCCTTTTTAAGGAAGGAGGTAAGTAGGTGATAGTTCCAAGCTCCTTGGCTCATCAACATGGGGGGAAGAAGGCAGTTTCAAAAATTTCCCTGGCCATGTAATAGGCACCTTGGAGGGGTGGGAATTTCTTTGGTTCATGTCTTCTTGCACTTTCATTAACTGTCAGAGTCTTCTTTTAGAGCTGAGAGGAATTTTTCTTTCCCCAAAGCATTACAAGCAACTTCCAATGCACTGTGCAGAACATGTGATAGTAATAAAGATAAATAAATGTGGCAAGAAGACCTCCTCTTTGTCCTTCCCCGTCTGTTTCTGCTCCTTGATGCTTTGAGCTCTCGGCACTTCTGCTCTTTCTGGCAGCTGTAGTGACCACACAGAGTTGCTGACCAGAAATAACATCACAGAGCCATGGTGTGGTACTTGAGAATGAGGAAGCTTCTGGCGGTCTCCTTGGAAAATAGGACATCATAGGTAGTTTTTTACTTTGCTTGGAGGAAATCTGTGGATGCTGCCATATCCTCCAGATTAATTGACTCTGCTGTCTTTTTCTAGCCATTTCCCTAGCCACTCAGTGTGCTTGGGGAACAGACTTCCCTGATGAGAATCCTCTGTTTCAGCTGTTCCCAATCTAGGCTGCGTAGTTACGCCAGTGTCCTGAGACATCTTAATAGGTTTACCCTGATTGATTTTTCCAGGAAAATAAGTTTGGGAAATGCTGAGTGAAATTGATTTCTTTACTGCAGGACTTTTAATATGCTAACGCCCATTATAACGTGCATATTTCTCTCCAAGAAAGGAATACTTCAGTATAGGGTGTTTCCTATTTTGAACCTGGTACCTTTTTTTTTTAATGGAACACCATTAGCGTCTCTTGGGAAGTGTTAATCTACATAATAGTTAGAGTTGTCAAACTTTTGTTTGTATAAGAATTTCTTGGGCCTTCTGTTCAAAATGTGAATTCCTTGGTCCTCCCCCCTAACAACTAAATCAGAATCTCTTAGGTGAGACCTAAGAATCTGCATTTTTTTATAAACAGCCACCACTCTTCCTCTGTTTATTGTAACCACCCTGAAGCCTTGTCATTTCCCCAGAAACAGTCTGTTTCTACCTCTCTGGTTTTATCCATGTTGTTCTCTCCTTCTGGAATCACCCATTCATTCTATCTAGTGAATTCTTATGCATCCTTTATACCAAGTCCTCTGTGAAGGCTTTCACCCATTAGATGTAAGCCTCCTAAAGTTATGGAATATGTCTTATTTATTTGAATATCCCAGGACTAAGTCCAGTTCTGGTACCTTATAAGTTGTTGAACAGATGGATGGAAAAATCATCTTTATAAAATCCCAACGTGTATAGCGCTGGTGATCAAAGCGAAGTTAAAGAAATGTCTCTAAATCCTTTATCACCAACCCTGGGTATTTCCTGCACTTTTCTTCCACAGGGCTTAATTTTCTCTGTTTAGTTTTTCTAAGGTGAAATGTTAGAGTCTGTAAAAACCACCACCATCCCCCATCACCCTGAGGGTCTTCATCCGCATTCTGCTCACCTCTGTTAATTGTCCTCAGACAATATTGTTGCTGTCTTTTGAAAGAACTTATCTTTAGGAACCACTTTCTCTGTTAGAATTCATTTCCTCCTCTTCTTCCTCCCCCTGATTCCAGCCTACTTTTCTTCTTTTTGATCTTTGTGCTGCCGTGAGTCAGTTTTATAGAAATGAGCAAGATGTCTGTCAGGAGAAAGTAAAAGAAGAAATTTCAGCAAAGAGCCGACCCTGGGTGGGTAAGAAATGGGGAGTTCTGCTTAGCATTATCACTTTGAGTCCCAGGCATATTTTGTGCATTGTGGTCTGGGAATTGGGAGGGGTTCACACTTCACCTCCTCCCCACTGTGATCCAAGGAAATAGGACCGGAAAATACTGACAGATGTGAAGGCTCCCCCCTTAGTTAGGTATTAAAGGATATAAACAGCTGTTGATCTCTGCCATTGAAACATGGAGGAAAGAAAAGCTTTCATCTGTTCCTGGATTCTAGTTGCACTAGGATACCCATGCCATTTCAGAAGTCGAGCTTTCTCAGTTGGGAGAATACCAAACAGATGTGGCTCCCTTGTGAACCATAGTCTCCTCCACTCTCCTTTGATCCCCTCAGCTTCCTTTGTTAAAAAGCCAACAGATGTCCCTGTTAAAGCTCCCAAGACAGCAGTAACTTCAGAAGCAAGGGCCACCTCCCCTTCGATTGTATCTCTTTAACCACTTTTGGAGATGACAGAAAAATAGAAAACCTCAGCCTTTTTTTTTTTATTCTGTTGCCTGTCTAATTACAATAATTTTTATGTTCTGGCCTCCAGTCTCCCTGTTTTTCTGTTATATAATATGATTTAACATCTTAGAGCTGACACTCAGAGAAAAAATGAGCAGAAAACATCGAGCTCCTCCAACTCATGTTTTTAAAAAGTCTTTGAACGGGAGGAATAAGAACACTTAAAACATAATGACAGGATCTCAGACAGCTCTATGGTTTCAGAATATTTGGATGTCGGGGAAAAAAGAGCAGGGACGAGAAGGAAGAGAAGCGAGGGAGGGAACACCCATCTATGAAGCCTGCTCAGTGCCGGGCGTTGTACCTGCCAGTGTCCATCTTTCTTAATTCTCACCGTAACTCAGTGAATTAAATATCCTATTTTACCAGTGAGGAAGCTGGCTTTTAAACAAGATAAGGGGCTTTCCTAAGGTCTTACAGCTAATAAGTCCTTTAGAAGTCAGGATTTGAACTCAAGAGTGTCTGGCCAAGAATCTGTGTCCTTGTCACTTACTGCCATTCATAGCATCTATCTTTGTTTTCAAGTTTTTCTTTACATGGCTAAAGACATCTCAATCAATGATTTTAGGAGGTTGTTTAGGATGGAGAAAATTTCAGAAAACCTGATTTTGCTATAACTTTCAAAGAGATGATTCTTTTTTTGTTTCTATTTTGTTCTGTTTTTGTTGGCTCCTATTTAAAAATCACCTCTGAGGTACCTGAGGCGTGTATCCAGGCCCTGCAACTGTTCCCACATTCCCTTCTAAGATTGGGAAGAGGGTGCCTTAGCCTCATGAAAGTGCTTTGGCGGCCCACGACTACCTGTTACTGCCATTCAGTCATTCATTCATTCAATAAATGTTTGTTGAGCACCTGCTCTGAAGCAGGCTCTATTTTAGGCACCAAGAGCGAGCAAAGCAGACAGAGTTCCTGTCCTTGGGCAGTTTCCGTAATGGCCAGAATGTCTGGTTGCTCCAAATGGCTCTGCACGTTTTTTCTAAAATGAGTAGTTTGCTCACTGGTCAAGTGTGTTGTGGAAACAGTTGCATCCCTTTGGCAACCTTTCTTGTGAGATTGCAGCTGAGTTTCATCCTCTCTCAAAATATTATGACCGGAAACATGAGACGAGAAAAATGTCCATAGGGATGAGCTTTTCAGACATGGGGTGTCAGAGAACTGAGTTTCTAATTAGCCTTTAAATTTTAACTTTTTATTTTCTATTGTACAACTCCCTCTTTTTTCTATTTAAATCTGTATAACGCTGGTAAGACAGAATGTACATCAACAAAATATATTTATAGTGTGGTAGAACAAACAGTGGACTTGTAGACAGACTCGGAGTTATTCAGCTCGCTCTGCCATTACAATGCTGTGTGACATTGATAAACGTGTCGCCTCTGAGTTTATGTTTCTCTGTTTGTAAACTAAAGATAATAATTTGATCTCATGGGGCCGTTTTAAGGATTAAATGAGGAGTGTGAGTAAAAACACCCAGTCCAGAGCCAGAAGCACTCCTAAGAGGTGCTTAAAAATAAATGTGTGTTCATT